AATACATACTAAATTTTTGTTTTCCATTATTTCTTTGATAATCTGTCCATTTTTATCGTTACATTTACCCCATACTGTGCTACTGGCATTAAAGTCCCCACACCATATTACTCTCCCTTCCAGATGTTCCATCACCTCCTCCATCAGCTCCAGTGACAATGTTTTACATGGATTATAAAAATTTAATAATTTTACAATTTCCTTCTTTTCCCCAGATTTCTATAACTATATATTCCAATTCTTTACCTTTCCCTATTATTTGATATTGCCTGCCTTGTTTTATAAATATTATTCACCCTCCTCCACTTCCTTCTTGTCGATCCCTTCTTATACATCTATCCTTTAATAATAAAATCTATTGTTGGTTTTAACCACGTCTCCTGTACACAAATAACGTCTGGCTTCTCTTGAAGTTCGTTAATATAACTTTTAAGTTCCTGTCCATTAGCAATTAAACTTCTAGCATTCCATTGTAATATAATCATATATTGTCACCTGGTGTTCCTGGTCTTCCATCAGCTTCCAACCTTTTGTTCATGTTTTTCCAACATCCCTCTTTGAACCCTAAACATTTTTCAGCTCCTCTCACGATTATTTTAATTTTCTCTGTTTTATGTTTGGCCTGGTCAGTGCAGTTTATGACACATGCTATGAATAATATCAGGTTTTCAACTGGCATTGTGATGTTTTCCTCTGTTTGCTGTTTCCTGGTACTTTGTTGTGGGTTTTGGTTCTGTTTGTCCTGTCGCTCTTGTCTTTTGTTCTTTGACACTTTTGACTGTCTCTGCATATGTGGTGTTTTTACTTATTTTCACCTGTTGGATTTCTTTTGCTGTTTTCTTCACTTCACACCCTCCATATGTAACTCTATGTTGTCCTCCACAGTTGCAACACTTCTCCTTTTCTTCTTTACATTCTTCTATCCTATGATCTTCTCCACACTTTGGACACCTCTGTGTACCTGTGCACGCTGCTGCCATGTGTCCATATTTCTGGCACCTGTAGCAGCGAAGTGGTGGTGGGATGTAAGGCCTAACTTGAAAATTCAAATAACCTATTTTTATGTTTGCTGGTAAGGTTTTCTCATCAAACTCGATCATAATTGATAAACTTCCTACTCTTTCCCCATTAACAGTTCTTGACAGTCTCTTCAAGTTTTTTACTTGTGCACCAACTATGTTTCTTTTTATTTTATCTAAATCTTCATCCACTGGGATACTGTAAATAACTCTGCGAACCGTTTTGTTTTCTCTTATTATCCTTCTTTCCATGACCATTCTTTTAAGAATCAGAATAAACTTTATTGGCATTGCACCGAGATACTTCACCACTCGCTCCCCATGAGATCGGATGCTTCTCTCCCTCCCTCCCTCCCTCTCCGCTTTGCTGCTCTGTCTGTCTGTGAAATTGCTGTGAGACTCTCTTGCATTTCTTCTGAACCACAATTATGGACTTGTTTTTGACCAGTTGGTCCCTCATCTCAATTTACAACATTTCTTCGAAGAGAAGACAGGCTTTAGGCGAGCCGATTTACCCTGTTGGCACGTACACAGCTGGATATCTCATCGACTTGAAGACTTGATGATGTGTCTATCTCTGCTGCCATCTGTGGATTTTAAGGACGCATATTTAATTGGATTTATGATAACTGGTTCCTGCTTTTTGGATTCAGCTGGTGCTGGTTTTATCTACAATCAAGGAAGTCGTCAACAGCAAATTTGGACCCGATCACGCTGCTTGCCTTTATGATGGCTTGGTTCATGTCTGGAGTACCCAGACTCAAATGCTTTGGGCTGAATGGATCAGATCTTGGGGATTTTTACTCAGACACGTTTCCATCGGTGTGGCCATGTTAATTTGGACATTTCGGAACCGAGTGACCAACACAGACTCAAGGTAGATGTCATTAAGTCCTGCCTGTCCCCAAAACAACTGTGTGTTTATCTAAATTTTGGTCGCCTTGGCTGTCCTTGAAGGTCATCTTATCTGAATTCACCTGGAGAACATGTGATCTGACGTTCACCACCCCCTCCCTGAGGAATTTCCAACTGATAACCAGATGAATCCCTGCTGAAAAAACTTTGTGTCATTATTTCAGGACTCTGGATTCTTATAGAGGTTATTCTTGGCCATTTCTCAACATACCTCGAGAATGTTTATGGATCTCAATGGAGGACATTGACTGATTACAGTGACCTCGAGAGCGTCTGTAGGCGTTGTTGACCGCTCTCGTCTCTTCCTTCTTATGCTCTGCTCTGCAGAATGTCTACGTACTGTAAATATGTGCTTGTTTGTGCGAAGTGCTTTTTCAATGGGTTTTTCTCAGCCAAGATAAAAGTCTGATAGGAATTTTTTCGCCTCCAACTCCTACATGTGTCCAGTTAACCACAGTTTTTGTCTGTCCAAACAGGTCTCACTTGTAAATGAGTCTTCGAAGCTCAATGTGATTTATCTGTTTAAATAAAGGTTGAATGAATGAAAAATACAGCGCAAATATGTACGTACAGTCGTCCGAAGATGGGCGGAGTGCACGAAGCTTCGGCTATAAATAATTAGCGCGGCCTTCTTATTCTTATTCAGAATAATATTTTTACAGATGTTCTCGACGTGCAAAGCCTTATTTGTTTGGTCTTCAGTTTTCCTTGACACTAATAAATTTCCGTCTCTTAACACCTTCACCATTTCTACATCCCCAATCTTCTTTTTTATTTCTTTTAATATCAAAATGGGGCTTATGTTACCCTGCCCTTCCTCATTTTTTAGTTTGAATATTATTTTAAATTCATCCCTCACTACTTTTCTTCTTACTACCCTTTCTTTACCTGAGCTGCTCCCTTCCAATTCTCTTTCATTACTCTGGCTGTCCTTTGTCTCTTCCTCCGATTTATTTCTTCCGCGTCCTCTCCCTCTACCTACCGGTGTCCACCCCTCAAAATCCATGTCTGCCTCATCTCCTACTTGTTTTTCCAGCCGAACCATTCACATAATAGTTTATGCCAATTTCCGCCTGTTCCAAAGTCCAAAAAATTGTCAAATACTGATAATTTGTCAAAAAATGTTTTAAATTCCGCGCCCAACAGCTTCACTTCCTCCTCCGTCAACCACCTCCGCCCCCGACGTTTGTCGTCTTTCCATACTGAACCAAACTGAAGCAATTTAATGACACCTGGGGAAACCTGTGCAGGTCCTTTGAGTTTAGTAGATGATTAGTGTCACACTCAGTTTAAAACATTCATGTCCTGCAACATCTGGACTGATTCTCCACAGTATTCTGATTTTTTGAAATCCTGTTTTTGTGGGTTTCGTGAGCTGGAAGCCCAAACTATGTACAAAGTATATATAGATATCTATATATCTATAGATATCTATATATCTATATCTATATCTATATATATGTACAT